TCAGTGGCTCTGGCAGTATCGCCTCTGAATCAGGTAATCATATTTTAGTCTTCAAAGGAGGAAGCTAAAATGACACTTCTTGAAAATAAACTTTTGAGAAAGAGAGACAATAAGGGAGTCCAGGCAGAGGGAAAACTTGAAACTCTAGGTTTAAGCTAATTCTTTTACCGAAGTTTCAGTTCACTGAAAAGCAGCTCAAGTTCTGTTTTTCCCTTCGGAAGACAGAGAGGAGTTCACAGAAGAGGACAAACAATTGCTGGAAGGCATAGCACTTGGTTCTCTCTGGTAGCCTAAACTTTACAAGAGAAATACTATTTGCTGTGTTTTCTCTGCTCCTTGCTGTGGTAAACCAGTGCACTTCGGAAAGATCCATGTCTGATCTCCATGACAGAAAAGAAACTGGAGTACATCAGCTCTGGTCCTCTGCTCTACTCTTACCTTCCCTATGCAGAGCTTCAAATGGAGTGTGATAGACGGTCCAAAGCTTAGAAGCAACCTCAACCATCCCTGCACTCTTTTCTATGCTTCCTCATTAACTTGCAATTGCTGTTTTATAAAATTCTCATTGATGTCTGAAATCAGTTATACACTACTGAAGAAAGTGAAAATTAGGCTTTGCAGTAGCAGAAAGAATCTTTTTACAATCCATGCTAGCAGGGGTAATTTAAGGTTACAGATAGAAATTGTGATGGACAAAGAATAAGCTGTGTCAATAATGTGCATACTCATTTTGTTTATTTGACTTATTTCATGTTTGCATGAAATAAATCAAATATTCAGAGCATAATTCAGAAAAAATGCAGAGTGAAAGCAAGCCATCACAAGAGCTCATTCATCATTCTGCCTACAGTTTTTTTTTATTATGGTCACAGAAGTTAATCTGTGCTTATTCCTTGAGAATTTCTTGAGAGAAATTAAATCAGATGACCTTTTCCATTTTTTTTTCCCAGCTATCAGTTTCCTTTCTTTTTATTGTTGTTTTTTATCTGCCAGTACATGTAGACAGTATGAGCTCTTTTAACAATGCTACTTCTTTAGCCGCATTAAGCAACTGCTTCAACAGTAGTTGCTATATAATATTAAGCAATTCCTTCAAAACAATAACAATAAGCAACTACAAAAAAGCACAAGAGCACATAAATCCAGAAAGCCAAAATAGTCCACTGGTTATTTCTCAAACACCCGCAGCCACCCACATTGGTTCATTGAGTGTATTAGCATTAAAAGGTTAATGGCTCTGGAGACAATAAACTTTAGGAATAAGAAAATGCAGCTTGCTGAAGTGAGAATGACAAAGGCTCTGTTCTCAAAAATTGATCCCTGCAGGATGAGTAATAAACCAGGTTGTGATGGTTTACACAAAAATTTATCAGAAGCTCTTCTCACAGACCTAGTCCAAACCCACTTCCCATGTGCTCCAACTATGATCCCAAACAGGATTAGAATTTTAAACACCAAAACTAACAGCGTGGTCCTCTTTACTTTGATGAAGCTATTGGCTAACATTCATGACACAGATAAAAGCATTTTGGTCAAAATATTCTGTCACAGCAGATGTTTCAGTTATGCAAGTCTAAGTGGAATTTACCCTTTTATTTTCAAACTCTGTCAGTGGGTAAAATACTGGACAACTTGGAATTTTAAAGAAATACATTTTCTTTAAGAGCTTACAGTGCAGAAGGAGTACTTGCTAAGACTTTAATATATGAAATGAGGGTTCGGTGTAAACTGGAGGGTGGGGTACAGATAAAAATAGAATAACTCATATTTTTATGCAATCCCCTGTAAAAGGAACCCTTAACACTTTCTAAAAATATCTGCGAGGCCACTTGGGGAGGAAAGGAGGTGTACAGAATGCTTGACAGAAGTCAGAGATTTCAAAGTAGAGCTCTAGGGGCAAGACTTAAGAAAAAAAAAGTTGCAAAATTCAAAATGGAAAACACAAACCGACCAACACAGCGGGATCAGTGTTTCATGAGGAATAGGAAAGAATTGTTTTCACAGCAGCAGACATCTGGGATATGCAAGGAGATGGTGAAACTGGTGGACATTGCTGACATGAGCCACTAAAGGAATGAGAATGTCTTGCTGTTGCCAGCACTGCATGTAACTGCTTTCAATGCATGCATCAAAACATATTTTCAAAGATGTCATGAAAGTATGGAAGAAAAACAACTTCCATATCTAGCTGACCTATTCATTTTGAAATCGTTTTTGTTTGTTTCATATCAAACATCCCAGATTATGAAAACACAGGTTATAATCCACTTGTCTCTTCTCATAGAAGAAAAATCTACAGTTTATTATCAGAATACTTGTCAGCTGCAGCTTAGGTAAGAATGCCAGTACTTCCCAGTCTAATATATAGAGAGCATATACAAGAACCATGATGTAGTGGTTGTTGCTGCCACTGGAGTTGATTTAATCCACTTGTGAGTTACAGGTGGACACACAAACAAACAGGACTAATCTTGAAAATCTTCCACATTTTCTTTTAGAAAAAAAAAAGAAAATGAAAACCTGTTGTTTTGTTTTTTAATGAAAAATATTATATTGTAGCAAGGCATTGCACCAAATCATGATGAAGCTATTAGTACTTTCTAGTTACAAATTTAAAATAGGTAAGATAATATAAATGAACAGTATGCATAATGAAGAACAACAACCTTTGCAGAAATTGCTTCGGCAATGGGTTGTACCCGAACATGCAAACTCTTCTTAAATAGCTCCACAAATTATATGTTGCATAAATACAGCAACAGTCAAACTTTAGTACACTGATACATTATTCAGTGTGAGAGACCTCATATTTGACTGCAGATTAAAAGATTTTGTCTCCTAAAAAGGATATAAATGGTGTCATAAAAGTTCAGATATTCACAGAAGTGGAATTAAGGCTCAGTAACAGTAACAGCAGGAAGTTTACACACTGGTGTCTTGCCCTCCTTACCTACAGCAGGGATTTCTGCACCAGCTGATCTTCCATCACTCTGCTGCAACTCTGAAGCACAATGAGATGGATTACGGGTTGTATTTCACTCTTTCATCTACATTTTTAGATTAGTTTCACACACTTGGTATATTAACAGTAATTTTACAGCTCATAATAGAGGTTGTAAAGTAACACATGCTACTACAATGGCTTCTCTGTTTACTCATGAAATACCAGGAAGAACAGGATTTACTAATGAGTTAGACTAATCCTCACCCTAAAATGTAATTATCCTTGGGGTATAACTCCTTGGGATAAATCCTCCAAAAGGTTCAGTGAAAAGGCATGCTTGCTTACTCTGAGTCTTTTTACATCTTGGCCTAACAGAGTCCTGGCATTGCTATAAACACAAAGTAAGATAGGTAACATTTTTTGAAGACTGTGGATAAAGTCCAAAAGATACTCACCTTCTGCCAAGCAAATTGTTCTAGCTGACCATTACATTTCTGGTAATAAGCAGGAAAAAAAGAAGCATTCCAGAGCTCTTTTCCCTTCCTCAGTGTTTATGGGAGAGCCACCTGTACGCACTGGCCACAGGAGGCAGGGCTGCAAGGCAGGGTAAGGCTTAGACACTCCTCTGTTGTTAGAGGTACTACATGAGACTTCTAGACAGGGGACCAGGCTACTTCACCTCTAAGAGGCACTTCAGCCTGTGTGCAGACTGCAAGCACATGCTACCAAAGGAGCAAGAACCATAAAAATTTCTGTTGAATTTCAAGTGGAACCACTAAACTTCAAATTCCCTGCAAAAAAAGGACTCTCGGAGATGCAAGGCCAGAATATGTAACACCATGTCATGATTTGCCGCATAACAGAAGCCACTGAACCCCTTCTAACGCTTCTTCCTGGGAGTCCTGCACCTTGGGAAAAGATTCTGCGTCTGGAACAGACTGCAGTTGGAGCCAATAACTCTGTATCACGTGTATTTTGGTTTGTAAGGCAAATGAGAAAACAGTTTCAGACAATGCAGGCTGTAACATGCCTCCATCTGAACAAAGTAAAAAATATACCCATTAGAAGACAGTTGTCACCAATCAGGCCACAGACCTGGGCCCAGTTTTGCTGAACCCAATCTTGTAACGCCAGCTGCAGGCTAAGCCAGCCAGCAGTGGTCACCACGGTGAGAATTAGACGAAAACCAGTCCTCACCACAACATGAAAATCCAACTCCTCCTTTTCTGCTAAAAAAAAATAAAAAAAAAATAAAAAAATAAAAAAAAAACAAAAATAAAACCAAAAACTTAATCATCAAGTAGTTCTCCATGTGGTTGCACATAAGTAGAAAAAATAGTGCAGAGTAAAACTTCCCTGGTCATGAATGCGACAACAACTCTATGTATTTTCTTTCCCCCAATGCCCCCGATTCAGAAATGTTCAGGCATACGCACAGCCTCAGTAGCAAAGAACTCAGTAGCAAAACATAGCTGACATCTGAAACTAGGGGCACTGTGCAAGTCTGCTTCGTAAGACTGAAAGTAACGTATTACATTCATGGCAAGATAAGGTTGCCAAATTCAGCTGCAAGCTACACATATAGTTCTGGATATCTGGCTTAGATTTTTTCTTCTAGAGAACATAGTTAAAATGTGCTGACTACTTGCCCGATCTTCAGTTACAGCCTGGCCTGGTCACTGTCTTTCAGGAAAAATTACAGTTCAGAGGTTAAAGAGTTTGGGAGGGGAACCCTCAGATCCCGTTTAACTGGATTTCAATGTTATTTAACCTTTCAGAATAGTTGTGTGTGTCTATGCAATATTTTCAGCACTTGTTAACAAAGTATAAATGTGGAAGGGCTGTACAGTGAACTTAAAACCCTGTTTTGAGGATTAATATACAGCCTTTATTACTATGACAACTGTGCCATACGCTGAAATATAGCACTTTATTATTTTCACTGCTTTCACCAAATCCTGAGTTGAGATCATTCCAAGCAGATTGTTCTTTCAATAAAAAGAATGCAACACTCATGTCTAGCAGTCATTTGTTATATTTATTCTGTGAAACAAAGAGGAAAACACAAGATTGAAAAATGTTCCATGCATTTCATAAAGTACAGAGAAAGATATTGTCACGAGCAAAACAAAGGACAAGCAAAAGTCTCACTGAAAATCCCGAGCCCTTTGCTGCTTCACACTGCATCATCTACATGCAAAAGTGCATCGAGTGGAGGTGGTGCAGTCTAAAGGAAATGGCAGGTTATCTATCAATGCCTTGAGTGAATCATCATCCCACAAGGCTTTTGCCATCCCTTATCTTACCGCAAGACTGAACTGATTCCGCTTTTTCCTCACTACCAGTTCTTGGGTTTGGGACCAATTCTTTGGCTGAGAAATCAGGCAAATATAGCAGAGCTTATATCAAGTCCCGGGAAGAAAATAGATCTCAAATGCAGCTGTGTACAGAAAAATAGCTGGGCATGATGGGTGGGAGTAGACAGCAGTTGTTCCATTGCTAAAAGTGGGAATGGAGATGCCTTAATTATATACTAGAGGTATATAGAGAAAATACATTCTGCAATAGAAATATGCACAAAGGCAGGGGATATACCTAGTACCTCTCTTTAGCAGCAATAAAGCACCAATATCATTAAATGCACGTAGCTTTATAAAAGGATGCTGAAAGTATTTTATTTAGTTTACAAATTACATCTCTACAAACCCTCTTACTGAAAGCTTAGAATATTCAATGAGAGAGTCCAGAAAGTGCCTTTCCCTTGACCTACAGTACTCCACTTTATCAAAGCTGTTACGGGATCTTCCTTCCGCTTTTCCTTCACGGAACCTCTCGCCCTCCCACAGCAGTTACTGACCCCACAACTGCTGACCGCGCAGGCAGGCTAGTTCTGGGCTCAGGCTTTTGACACAGGAGCAGCCCCTGCCCCTTTCTGGGAATGTCGAAAAGCTGCCACAGTTGTGTTTGGGGCGGAAGGGGTAGAGACAGAAAGAACAAGGCTCTGCTCTTACAAACACCTACTGCCCCAGAAGCCCCACTCCTGGCAGGCCTCGAAACACCACAGCCGAGGAGCTCCACGTGGGGAGGAGCAAAGAGAGGACACAGACTGGGATCCTTCCCCCTGCACCACGGGATCCATCTGCTTCGCTGGTAACAGCTTTCTTCTGCTGGCCACCAAGCTCTCTGTCCTGCAGCACTCACGGTTCTGCGTCCGGCTCCTGGGAATATGGCACCAAAGGGGAAGATTGTCACAGTCACAAATGTGGTTTTCATATTGTTAAAAATATAAAGCTAAGAATTCATACTTTAGAACTTATAACAAAGCACAATTTAACGTGTATAGTGAAGCATTTCAGAATCAGAAGATGGGACTTTTTGAATTGCTTGTGTTGCCTTAACCCTTTGCAGGTATGCACCAGGAAAATGACTTTACATTATATGAACTTTTCACTTTTCAGCCTCTCAAAATAACATTATTCCACTCCCTGGACAAGCACAAAAGAGGCATGGAGAAAAAAAATTCATAGCGTATCCCAAGTCCAGCATTTCTCACTTTTCAGGGCTTGCAATTATAATAATGTTTTCATGATGAAGCTTTAAAAGTTCAGTTATATCTTGTGCGTTCCTTTTCCATTAGGAAAACAAAAACTGCAGTAAAAAACCAAGATCTCACAGGCTGCAGTGAAGCACAGCAGTTGAGCCTTATTTTAAAACAGCTGCCCACTTTGCTAACTAGTGTCATTACTCTGTTGTCCCTGTAAACATTACAGGGTCCTTGTACCACCCACCAAGTCCTTTGCTTCAATCTACTACTTGTGCACCAGAGCACATCCTCATGTCTCTTCCTACACCACAATCATCCTCCTACACCCCACAGGATGCAGCAAAACAGGAACCAGTGCTAGGCTGGATACTTACAGGGAGCGCTGCCGTTTGCGTCCGCCTTCCCGCTCTTGGCGAGCTTGGCCGCGTTCTGCTGAGCTCTGCCCTGCTCCTCTCCAGTAAGCAGGGCTTTTATTTCAGAGGGGATTTTCCCTTGGTCCATCGCCGCGCACCACTGCTTGTACTGAAACACGCAAGCACAGCGGGCGTCAGTTTGGTCACTGACGACCAAAAGGTCCTCTCTACTTGTACGAGGGGCAGTTACAGGAATCTTGCCTTACTCCCAGCTCCTGCACCTTTCATTCTTCACCGGCAAACCCTGGGCTGCACTACAGGGCCAGATGGCCCCATCTCCATCCTATCTCTTCTATACATCCGCACTAGCCCTACACCCCTTCAAACAAGCCCAGCCCAAGGTCAAAGCAGTGCACTCCATTCCAGTGGCACCCACCACTTGAGGAGCTGGGCTGGTGCATCAGGAGAAAATGTTCTTTGCAAATGTAGGTTATTTGGCACCCATTTTACGCACGCTCTAAACTGCACAGCTGGGCAACCACATGTCAACACAGGGAGCTGCAGAACTTGACCTCCCGTACAGAGACAGAGGTCCGGGGAAGCACTGGCAAACTATGGATGTACCTCCCCACTGCTCCTTTAACACATCTCTTCCCGTCCTTTAACTCCTCCCCCTGCCAAAGGCTTTCCAAAATAAAGATTTCAAAGACAACAGATTTGCAGGCACCGGCACTTTCTTTTCTCACCTCTAGTTCAAAACTAGAGCATTAACTTGTGGCACACGGTCCAATTTCAGCACGCAAAGCGGGCAAGCAGCTGAGCGCATCTGTTAGTGATGCTCTGATTATCTCACAGCCAAGATCTACTCTCAGTTTGGTGGCAGCGGCTTGCAGGAGCGCGCGTCCCCAGGGGCGCCGCGGGCTCCTCACCATGTCGAGCTCCTCCCGCAGCGCGCAGATGGCTCGCTCCCGGCCCGACACCAGCTCCTCCAGGTACTGGTAGCGCAGCTTCTTGCGGGCTCGGCACTCGCGCGCGCTCTGACGGCTCCTCTCGAGCTTGGCCTTCAGGTCAATCTTGGCTGGCTTGCGGCCCCGCTTGCCCGGCTTCTTGACTTTGCCTCCAGCCACCTGCAGCAGAAGGGAGCGTTGAGGGCGCTGCTCCGCGAGGGCGACGCGGCGCTGCCCACGGGACACCCCAGGCCCAAGCTCTGCGCACACCCGCAGCGACTCCGGAGCCAGACGAGCCTCCAAAAGTGCCTTTTTAGAGGGCCCACGTGGGAAGGTTCCAGCGACAGCAGCAAACACGAGGGAGGGGGATAAGGCTTTACCACAAAGCCAGCGTCCAAGCAGCCCTATTGTAAATGTCCCTGCTCTGATCTGAAGGAGCAACGTGCAGGGGGGGAGGAGACGATCAGCCAGCTCCATAAGAAAAGTGTTGTAATATCGGTAAACAACATCAGTGACAAGTCTTGCCCTGATACTTGTCAGCTGAACAATAATGACAATGGAGTTTAGTGCTCAAGGTGAAAGAAAGAGAGTTATTGACTCCAAGTTTGGTGCAATAAAACCACCATATTTTCAGAAAGTTTACTATTAAAATGAAACCTCTCAAAATCATTCTCTGACTTTTCAGAAAGTTTACTCTTAAGATGAAATCTCTCAAAACAATTCCCTGGCTATCTGATATTCCTCTGCCCCGATTTACTGCAAGAGAATAACACCATGTCCTGCCTTTCATTTCCATTCCTTTCCCGACCGAGCCTGACGTCTCCTTTAGAGTCATGCCTTGCCACTGTGGGCATATAAGAATTATTTATTTATTAACATTTACACACGCTAGAGGATTGCCTCCTCCTGCCACCTGCGCCCAGGTCCAGCTCTCACGGAGCCAGATTTGGATCCCCCTTGCAGAAACGCAACCCCATCGTTTCTGGCCCTACACACACCTGCCACTGGGAATCACTTCCCCTTTCTCTTTGTGGCTATTTTTTTTCCCTTTAACAGATCTGAAAGCTTCCCATACCCCAGGGAAGCAAATAGTAGTTTTCTCTGTGTTTACTCTGTGCTTCCCCACCCAAATATTCCACTTTTAACACGAGAACGTGGCACACACAAATAAGGTATGAAAATTAGTACAGTGACCATGGGGTAGGACGGCCCTGTGAGCATGTTGGTCACACACCCCATTCTCCCTCTGAAGTGAAAATTTTTATTTATTTGCACTTTGCCCACACTGTTTGAATGGAGAAGGTGTGGGGAAGCACACCTAACACGCAGGAATTTCACTTCTGGCTTAGTGTTTCACCATGGTGTGTACACATGGTATTTTTCCTTACAAACAGTGTTCAAAATACCACAGTTCACAATAGAAAATTACACTTTTTTTTCTTGCCATGTGATGCTGTAAATCTGTTTTGATGGCCACAGAAGTCTCTCATTCTATAAACTGAGCAGGCTGCAGTGGAAAACAATGAAATAGTGAACTGATGTGCCAGAAGGAAAGGAAAAACAGAAAAGACTCCACAATTGGGCCTATTCTTTCTCTGGAAGCGAGTCAACAATCACATGGCAGCACAATCCAGCCTCTCACACATTGCCTCTCCTCATGTACTCAGTAGTAGCTGCCCACCAGAAGCAATCACAGGAAGAGAAAGTACTTAATGGCAAATTCAGTAAAGTAAAGCAAATATAAGTAAAGTATAAGCAAATATAAGTAAAGCAAATATAAGACACTCAGCAGAGCGGGCAAAAACTCAAACTGCTTTCTTTGCAGCTGAGCTGCCGAGGACAGTGTGAATAACCACCTCCTCCACCTGCCCTGGAACAAAGGCCCATCCGTAAGGCTTCCTAGCTTAGTCAAGTCATTAAACTCAGTGCTCTAGAACAGGATAACCTGGCCTAAGGCACCAAGTGACACTGCTGCTGTTTGGCTTTTATATAAAACCTTCTGCAACGTGTTGCTTCTCAGGGCCACCTCCTGCTCCCCTCTGCGGCCTCTTCCCTTCTGAACCTTACCTGTCGCTGCCCTGCTGTCCCAGCAAGCAGGGCTGTGGGACGGACGCTGCAGCCCTCCTAAGGACCTGCTGCTCCAGCAGAGAGGGCCGGCACTCACGACCCCTCTGTATGAACAGCACGGGACCTGTTTTAGGGACCTGTTATTTCAAAACACTTTGAGGAGTCACATGAAGACAGGACACAGATGCTACTAAGGAAAAGGAGAGGTGGATGATGACATTGGAGCTCCGGACGAGCTCTTTCCAAGTCTGCATGTAGCAAAGGGTCCAGGTTTGATGCCAGTTTGTGGTGCTTCAGCCCAAAGCCTGCGCTCAAAGGAACCATTTCTTTCTTTTGTGGACAGAGCTAGAGCTGTGAACACAAAGCAGTTAAAGGCCCATTGGAGCCCAGGGTGAATGTGAAGGGTGGCAGAGATCCTTCACGGATCCTCCGCTATGAACCAACCGCTCTGTCTCTCCAGATCTCCAATCTCTTGCAGCTCCACAGGGTTTTCCTGGCTAGGCTCTCACCACCAGCACTGCAGAAATTATGGAGTGGAGAGGGAAGGGAGCTTTCCAAGTACCTTTAAGACCCCAACAGGCTTCTCGCCGCCCTGCAAGGACCCACGTTGCCTCCACAGCCCCGAGCAGCCCTTCGCCACCCAGCTCCGCGTCGCCCTGCACAGCTGGAGTGATTTCACCAAGCCCTGTCCTCTTGGGACCTTGCTCTTGCCAATACCCAGCAGCTTGTGCCGCAAGCTTAAGCGACCCCCTCGGGGAAGGCAAGGCCTCCTAAATCCTTCCTCAGCATGCCCGGCTCCCAGGCATGCCTGCCCAGCCAGTTGCTGTGCTGGTGGGACAGAAAAAAGACAAAGCAGAAGTGCTAGTTGATGCTGAGCGTGGCAGCGGACCAGAAAGAAACACCAAGCAAACACTGTGTTCCCTTTGTATTTCCCTGGAGTTCATAAAGGGATGGGATCCATTAGCATTCAGCAGCGGGGATTTGTGTTTTCAGAGAGTCAGAGGCAATCACAACCCACATCAGTGCTAATGATAAAAATTTGCTATAAAAATATTAATAATGACATGAATTTGTCAGAAGGCCAACCAAGCTCCTATTTCAGCTCATCCCCGTTTCAGAAAACAGAAAAGCTTCTCTCCTTTTTTAATAAAATAATAAAAGTGTAGAGATTGCAACATCATTCTTACCTGGTATTCAGGTACACAATTACTTAACCTCGAACTGGAAATACCTTCAATTACCTCACCTGGTACAGAAACAAGACAAATTCTATCTCTGATTTTTTTTTCTTGTTTCTCCCTCAAAGACGAGCAAAAGTGCATTGGGAAGGGATTGAACAGACCTCTGGGGAGGTGGTGCCACAGTGGGATCTGGAGGGATCCTCCCCTAAATGGACAGACATGTCCAGGACCACAACCCACGGTCCCATCCCTCGTGTATTGAGCCCCACTCACCCAACGCTGTGATAAACCTGGTCTTGCTGCTACACCTGCAGGCACTGGACAAACAGCCAGACTAAAGCAATGCTGACTGCAGGCACCAGTTCCTTCTCTCTCAGCACCAATTCATTCATTCAAAGGTGTCAATTAGTTCTGAAGTGCTACAGCCGTCAACGTTCGAGATCCAGTTTGGGGAATCACCTCAAACCGTGGTCCAGACTCTGGCTTGCCAAAGGCACACGTCTGCAGAACCCAACTGAGCACGAAACTGATGATCACCCACAGAATTTACCTAAAACTATAAAAAATAATCAGCAAGAAAGAAAAACTGGCTTAAGCACTGAATTTGTTATGCTAAAGGAGTGGGGGAAAAAAAAAAAAAAAAAGAAAAAAGGTCTATTCACATTTGCAAAAACACTTTCTCCAAACCAATACTCAAGCAAAATGAGCTTTGAGTCTCCTAATACAGGTGGGATTATCTGACCTGCTAAATCACAATATCAGTCACAGGAATAATATATAACCTAGCTAGATAAATGGTTATAATGGAATAATCCTCATACCTCCACTGCATCATGCTTTAAACAGATTGATCTGTGTAAAGCTTGTAACTTGCACTGGCAGACTCAGCATCCCAAATCACACTGAGAAAGCACTCCAAAAGCACAGAGGATAATGAACCAAAAATGTACAGTTTAAATTAGTGAGCAAACACTTTACGTCTTAAGCAAATATGTGAATACAAATTATAGCAAAAAAGTCTAATCATGCAAAATGACTAACGTGCTAAGAAGGTAAACTTAGCAACAGATGTCTACAGAAGACTGTTAAAAAAAAAAAAAAACAGGAACAAATACCAAGATTTCATAAAGTGCTCAGCAAATATCCACACGTTAGAATGTGCAGATGTTGAAGTTCAGGTCAGGAATCCCTGTTGAGGGTCTCTGGCAATCACTTGACAGCCTCCTTACCACTCAACAGGTCAGAATCCTCCCTTTCTTCCTTCCTTGCACCCAGGAAGAAATCACAGCCTTGCACACAGAAATACGCCCCTCCACCTGAGGGCTTATTCTGCCCATTTCTGCTAACAGAAGCCAGAGATTAAACCCCTCTCTATAAGAGCTCTGAACGGGCAACAGAGACAGTCAGCTAAAGCTATGCCTATCCTAGGCATAGCCTCCTAGCCCCTGCAGACATGAAGTCTCTAGCCGATTTGCGAGAGTTTAAGCCAACTCATTTTACCAACCTACGGCAAACACGAGAAAGCAGATAGACCAGCTGAGCCCTGCCAACCACCGGTGCCTTGGGACAGGCACCTGCCGAGAAGGCTCCGCAGGGCTTTACAAACCTGCAAACTCTGGAAAAAAAATACTATAGGGTGAAAACCCAGTAACCAATGTCCTCTCCTGAACAACCTAGATCGTTGTGAAAGCAGGTCCTGGGCTCCATCCTGACCCCTGATGAACGCGCCAGCCCTGCGGCATTCGACGCACTCCTCGCAGCCGGCTCCAGGATTGCCAGGTCTGCTCCCAACTCCCCATCCGGGCTACTCCCAGTCGTGAGGTCAAAGGCAGAGATCTGTTGGGGAATATCTCATGAATGCGGGCGACCTGTCAGGGCTCTCACAGCTCACCTGTGCACACAAGCCCCTTGGAGGGAGGGTAGCAGCATCTCTGCCATCGGTCACCTCCAGCAAAACTCCCTCAGGATCACAGGTGTCCAGATATTTGATGTTACAAGGCTGGGCAGAGGCCAAAGCAGTGCAATTCACCCCTCACCTGCAGCCTTTTGTCACGGGCCTCCCCCCTGTCCTGTGACCAAGGGCTCTCCCAAGAGAGGACACTAGAGCAAGACATCCAAGGACACGCCATACACAGGACTCATCACGGAGACCATCACAGAGATGATCACACTAATAATAATAGGAACAGCTACTCTGAGGAGGTTGCTTTCATTATAAACTAAGTTACCACTTAAAAACACACTTGCCTAAAAGCTCTATTTCACCTCCCGCATCACTAGTTTGTTGAACTTTGAGAACAGTCAAATCTCAAGATCAGCGTTCACAGTCCTGGTCCCATCCTGCTGGTGAATGAACACAAAGAATATTAGCTGAAAAAAGAGCCTTTCAGCAGCTGTAGCTGCCGCCACAGATATAAAGGAACTTGTCCCTTCACTTCAGACTATGCAGCAATTTATCTTAAAGCAAAAACAACAAAAAACTCAACAACTAAGAATTAGTTAAGAAACTGGTTGAGAAACTCACTTGATCATTAAGCACTAGATATCAAGAATGAGATCCATCATTTCAAAATTCAAAAGAATGAACTGGGTTTTCTTGCAGCATAACTAAATAACAAAAGGTTTCCCTGGCTTGCTTTTTCTTTTGCCCTTCCCTCTCCCTCTCCCTCCCTCTCTCCCTCCCTCTCTCTCTCCCTCTCTCTCTCCCTCTCATCTCCATTTCTTGCAAATCCAACACATATAAGTAGCTTCCTTAAGCTAGCAAGACTTCAGACTTTTAAAAAGCTGTTCTGTGAATTTCACTATTTCCATTCCAAACACAAACCAATTACTACATTCTACTGCAGAAACTAAGAATGAAGCAGCGTACAATTTGCCAAAAAGAAATCCATTTTAGCTTAAAAAAACCCCTCACTTTAAATATGCATACTCATCGTCAAAACACACTTTCCCTTAAAATAAATCTGTTCTATCACTTTTTAGTTAAGTTCAAAATGTAACTGAAGAAAAATACACTTTAACTCAACTTCTTTAAAACTAGAGACATCTTTTCCATATAGAAAAGTGTTCAAAGTAAGAGTAAGCCAAAACCTTAAAAAAATACTTGAAAAAAAAAACATTAGAAATAACAATTAAAGAGTGTTTTAGTGATTTATTTTTTATTTCTCATTTCTATCCATAAACTGAAAACTGAATTATTCACATAAGCACTATGTGACCACTTAGGAGGCGCACAGGTGATATCCTAGCAGAAATTAATTGACAAAAAGCAGCTACAGGCTCAAACTCTTTCCCACATACAGCCTATAGCTGGAACCAGCACAAGGGCAAAGGAGACCAGTATTTTAAAAGGCCTTAGTTCCAGAGCAGCTACAAGAGAAAAAAACTTTTGTTTCCTTGTTGTTGCTGTTGCTCTTGCTTTTGTTTTGAATAATATGAGAACATCCTTTAAATGCACCATTCTTCTGGTGATGTCTTAATCCTAAATGAAAACTTCAACTATAATCTAAGAATCAGGAGAAATATTATGGCCACCAAGCTCAATTCTAACTTCCGTGTCTCATCTAGATGAGGAAAAACTCTGAATGTGGGGGGACGTAGCTACAGAATGGGTACATCCCTGCTAATGTGATTTAATTATCACAGTTTTTACAGGGAAATTCCTGTCATAATCCCAGTCATCCAAGTAAGACTCTCAGATCATGGGGGCAACCCTTTTAGTAAGAGGGAAACATGACTCAGTAAAACTTGCAGACAGAGGATGTGTTGGCTTGAGCTGTAACACTACGCTTCCTAAAAACAAAGCACAAATACAGCTTGCCTCATTCTGACCCAGCAATTTCCAGCTACAAAAGTTCCAGCCTTCCCAACAGAAACTGGATGTCCCAAATAGAGGCACCAAACGTTCAAGCCAACCTGCAGCTTCATGAACGGAGCCCTTCAAGGCAACTGCAGCGAAACCTTTCAAAGCAGTGGCCACTTCCTGACCAGTATCAGCTCTTTACCATAGAAGATACTAGGTCTGACTAGCCCAAGTTTATAACATTAATTAAAAACTTGCTGAGGGAACAAAGACTTTACAAAGTCTTCTTTGGGAACTGCCACATCCAGTAGTCCTAGGTAGCACCCTTTACAAAACTCACTGTAGCCTCACTGTTGCAAGGATCTCAGTGGTAAGTTACATGGAAACATCCTATCAGGCAGCTCTACCTGACACTGGAAATAGGAGGCGAAGGAATCCACTCTCTGGACGCTCTTCTTCACTTTCCTTTTATTCTTGATGCAGGGGGGCCAGGGAGGGGGTCTTAATGTCCAGGTGATAACATTTAGTTCTGTTAGTCAATGCATCCAATAACCTTTCCAACAAAAAGCAGATAGTCACATGTGCTGTCAGTGGGCTGGAACTGCCAATCTCCAGAAGTCCCTTCCAACCCCAGCTATTTGGTGATCCTGTTTATTACTTGCTGAAGACTCCAAAAACACACTAAGAATTGTAAAAATGTATAAGTTATCTGTTGTAAATACGCTGATAACTTTGGAAATTAGCGTGAGCCATTCCTATGCAGATTATCTATTTCATGGATAATTACTAGCTTTATCCACTCACAAACTACTGATCACTTGTAAAATTATTAGATCTATTCCTCAAGAAATTACCTCAAGCCTTTTTTTCCTTCTGAGTCGCAACAGATCGTTATGGTAACATGATTTTGTTCTAATAAAAATCAAGCGGGAGGAGAACTATGTGGCTTGGAAAAACACACCACACCACACGTACCCATCAGCTGGCCAGTTTTCACACCCGGCCATGCCCAGAAGTAACCAGGCAGAGGCCGCTGCTTCTCGGGCCTCGCAAAGCGCAGCCTTCCCCGCGCTGGCGCTCAGCGACCTAAGCAGCCTTTGGCACAAATGACCCTACTGGATCCAACAAACACCCACACGGAGCTGGGATGTGCAGCTGGGAAACTGCACTGGGTGGATACCGCACTCCAAGAACCTCCCAGGCCTCACACGGGCCCTGCAGGTCCTGTTTCGGGCACACTGCCCCAGGCAGGCGAGGGAGCCTTCCTCCCACATCTTCCTCTACCTAAACTTAGCACCACTGTCTCCAGGGACACTACTGACCTTTTGTCATTAAGATACACATGGAGAAGAGCAGCGATGCTCCCAAGGCAAGGCTTGCGAGCGAAGCACCTACAGTGGCACTTTGTCACTTTTATTTTTACGGTAGCTGCCAAGGCAGCTCAGGGCACTACAGGAACACATGGTTTGTCGTGCAAGCTCAGGCCAGTGCTCTCTCATCTCCAGCCCTATCTACCCCATACAGGGAGCTTTAAAGGAAAGCAGGAGAAACATCTGAGCCACCTCATACCTGACAAGGGGAGGGGACGAAGAATCCCCGCGTGCTGCCCACAGCGGTCACAGGCCTTCCACAGGGCATCTCCAAGGAAGCCAGCTCAGGTGATTTCAACACACACACCAACCTCACTCGCGATTCCCAGTTGACTACCGCTGCTTTGCACACTCGCACAACCCTCGCGGCTTGAGCTCCGCTTTACACACACGCCAGGGCCGCCACAGCCCGCAGCAGGCCCGGGGCGCCGCAACCAGGGCGCTACCGCCCCCCGCGCCGGCCCCGCGCCCGCCCGGCGGCCCCTACCTTGCTGTCATCCATGTGTGCAGCCAGCCCGCCCACAGGCCGACCTGCCCGCGCAGACCCGACGCAGAGAAGGGCCCCCCAGCCCCGCGGCGGCGGCAGAAGGGCCGCGGTCACCCCCCACAGCCGCCCCCACAACCCGCCGCCTCCGCCATGGCCTCCGCACTGTTTGTTTACAGCCGCCCGCGAGGGGCGGGGCGGGCCGGCCGCGCCCCAGCGGAGGACGCTGGGAAGGGGAGTCCCGCCCGGCGCCGCCGCCCTCCGCAACGCCCGAGGGCTGCGCCAGGAGAAACTACAACTCCCAGCAGGCCCCGCGCAGGGAGAGCCCGGCCGTTCCGCAGCGCGCTCTGCTCCGCCTAGTTCTGCTCCGCCCCGGTCCCGCGCAGCCTCCCACGGAGGAGGACTACATTTCCCAGAGGGCACTGCGGCTGCGGGGGGGGTCTGGACAAACAGTCGTATTTTCACCTTTTTTTTTTTAAATGATATATGTTATCTATATATATGTTATATAAAAATTATTGCGCCATCTTGGATCAGTAATTAAGACTTCAGCATATACCCCCGTGTGGGAAATACCGCCCCGAACGATAACACTCACTCAGGTTATGAGCACTGGAAGGTGTCGTGAGGAAAGCTGTTCAGGGCGTCTCAGCTACGCGCAGCTCTGCCAGCGATGCTCCACCGCGAATTGCTGCGAGACAGCAGCGGTTTAGAAACCAAGCAGTTCTGCAGTTAAGAAATCAGGCTGAAAAACAAGCAGATTTGTGCTTTCCCCCCACTCCCTCAGGTGGATGAAATAAGACCAGGCCAGTCATTGCTCCCTGCTTCATTTCCCTCTGATGGGGCCTGTGGAGCTTTTGAACCAACTGGTTTGGATGCAGGACACCTAAGAGGCCTCCTGGCACTCACAAAAACACCCTGTGGGGCATCCCTGCCTCCTCCAAGCCCAAGGGAGCCCTGCCCCATAGCAGCCTCTAGTGATTTTAAAGGGAACTAGTGAGGCCTCAGCGAGCAGCCAGGGAGCCTTATGAAACAACAACAACTTTCCATCCCAGCTAGAAGGCACCTTGGTGGATCCATGTTTATCCTAGCAACTCACACCAGACCATGGATCTCTCTGGTGATTCCCACTGGAGCCTCCTGTCTGATTTGACTGAAAATTTGGTTTGTCTTCACTTGTCACTTGTCCTATATCTAAACTACGCCAGAATTTTAAGTCATTTCTTATTATAATCCACAACAAGCACAGTAAGGGTTGAGGTAACAGAAGTGTGTAGACTAGGCTATGGATTCTTCTAGTAGGTGCAGAGGCCACTGCATAGAGGTTTCTCTGACTTTCTTCATAATGGACTTGAGCATTTAAAAACATATGTGCGTTTACCTGGTCTTGCTGCAACACCAATGTGAAGGAAGAGATTTTTAGCTGATATTTTCAACCCTGCAGCCCCTTCAGGTTTTACTTTTATCATAATGACTAGTATTCCTCCATTTCTGTCTTAGTAGATTTCCACTGGACAATGGAAAAAACGGATGTGTTGGAGTTGACAAATCCACTTTGCATGAACTATTGTACTTCTTTTCTCTCTCACTCCTCTTTGTCTCTCTCATTTCAGCTTTCAGTGGTTTCCAACTCTCAAAGTTTGAGAAAGAGGAAGAAGTAACTAAAGCAGGGAAAGAAAGGAAAGGAAAGGAAAGGAAAGGAAAGGAAAGGAAAGGAAAGGAAAGGAAAGGAAAGGAAAGGAAAGGAAAGGAAAGGAAAGGAAAGGAAAG